TAGGGGCGCCGGGTCAGGAAAGGATGATGATGTGACCCTTCCTGACATTGGGAAGCTGTCCGTGACGGAGAAGAAGAAGGACGACATGGACGTGGATCAGGAAGGCTCCAAGAAGGATTCCACCGGGACGAAGGAGCCCACGCCTCGGGGTACTGAGGCTGGGAAGACAGACCCGAATGAGGTTACCAACTTCAAAGGGGCTACCTTCGAGGAGTATCGGAAGACTGCTCCTGCCTATGAATACAGCGGGGAGGGAGATGATCGAAGGATCCTTCCCAAGAACACTCCGATAGACATGGAGAAGTCGCTGCCGGCCGAGGTAGCGCTCTTGATTCCGAGGGCAGTGGCCACGCAGAAGGAGGCTGAGGAAGCCGAGAGGGCCGCGCTGGAGGCCATCCGCGGGGATTATAGGCTTCCGGATGTGGGTCAAGAAGACAGGGAGAAGGTCGACCCTTACACCGTGACGGACGAAGACTTGGCTGCGTCGGTAGACGCGTTGACTAGGAGGTTGAGCAACATGCCTGAGTGGTCGGGAAATTTGATCGACCCTGCGAAGTCTGCTGAGCTGGTCGCGGCGAGATGGGGCGGAAAGGCGAGCTATGACAAGCCTGAGGCTCCTCTGACTGAGGCTGGGATGAAAAGTGCGTCATTGGAGGATCGTGCCTATGCACTATCGCAGCTGAATCAGATGGTGAACTTTCACAAAAGGCACCTATGCTCTGGGCGAGGGGCGCCTCTGGTGAGTGCAGCTGCCCCTAGTGGACCCTTTGCTCCTGACCAGCTGGATGATAGCAGGAAGTTCAGGCCTAGTGGGGCGGCGAGCAAGATGACCTACAATCTTGTGATTCTGGATGGGAAGGAGGATTATCTTGCCGATAGGCGAGAGATCAATCAAGAGTTAAGGGAAACGGGAGTTATCCCTGATGAGGTCGTCACTTGCCAGATTGTGGTTCCCTCGAAGACGAGGTTGGGCGAATACCTCCCGAACTACGAGGAGACCGCGGGCACCGTTGCGGGACGGGAGGCGGCGAAGGAGTTGATGAGACTGCTCTCGTGCGATTTCGACGGTTTGGTCATCAATTCAAAGAGAGTCTCGGAGTTATTCGAGGAGCGAGTGCTGAAGGAGACCGGACGCGAGGCTGGAAACTGGGTGAAAAGTGACCAGGCCATCTGGTTCCTGAAGGAGATTTCGGGCATGGAGAACGCTGAGATGTCTTGGAAGTTCTTCATTCCGACGCTTAAAGCTTTCCCGATAGGGCAAGTGGAGGCGATGCTCATGGTCATGTACGACGGGGATGGCGTTCTCCTCAAAGAGAGCACCAGGTTGGTTGCCGTTAGGCACACGCGGATCGGACGCGACTTGAGTTACAGTGCCGTTAGGCACAGGTATACTCAGGAAGATGCACCTGGCGGATCTCTGATGTATGAGATGCATTGGAATGAACTCCCCATGGTGGGATACGTCATCATGAAGTTCTCGGACTTTCGGAAGGCGGTTCAGCTCCAAAGGGTGAGGCGAAATGGAAAGGCCATGATCGAGATATTGATCACGAGGCCCGATGTGTACGAGACCATTGGGGATGGTAGGCAGGATGAGGGCCTGATCCCACTTGTGGGAGCCATGGCGCCGGATGCCGAGGTATCGCCTTCGTGGTATGTCAGGGACAGGCTGCGGAACTACTCCGGTAGGTACGTGGTGGTAATGGTGGATCTTCGGGTGCACTGGTCCTTGGTTGGACCCGTGTTTTTGACGAGAAGGAAGACTCTTGCCGTTAGGAACGAGATCCACATGGGGGCTTGGAAGGCGGCGTATATGTACGATGATTACACGATAGTGTACCATCGGGCATGGGACTACGGTGACTTCACCCCCGTTAGGGGAGAGCACAGGCGATCACGGGAAGAGATCAGGCTGAATGTGACTGCCACGTTCTGCTTGAGGTGCGCAGAATTGATGCCAAATGGGATGCACTTGTGTCCCGGGTGCGCGCTCCCGGTCTTTTACCCGAACTTTATCCCCAACGCGGAGGAAAAGGACTTCGAAAGGTGCCACATCGTGCCGGAGTGGGTGAGGACCATGGGGCAGTTCAAGCCCAGGAGGATTCCCTCCGAAGTGGTCGGAGTCATCAAGAGGAATTTGATTTCCTATTCGATGGCATCCGATCTGAGGATGACGGTGCAGAGCGGCATCAGACTTCCCCCTTATCTTGGTGAAGACAAGGGAGGTGTCGATGCGGCGTGGGATGAGCTGGCGAAGGTGCTCTTCCAATTCTCCTATGTGTCCGGGATTTCGGCCTCGGATGCGTTCGTGGAGAAGTGGGTGGCGAAGCACCTGATCAAGACCAGCCAAGTCGATAGATTTGAGTCGGTCACGGAGTACTTCCGGGCCAACCCAAGACACGCTGCTCAGTGGGGTAGGCGTATGACGACTTCCGTTAGGAAGTTCGCTCGTCATGACACGTACTTGTCATTCTATATTCCGATGGCATACGTGATTGGCTCCGCGGCTGGTCATCTGACCCCATTGTACCCGACCCATCGAAAGGACGTGGACATCCTGGAGGGTCATGCGTTGATTTCGCAGCTCAGGCAGTACATGGTATCGGAGACAGGGTACGATGAGAAGAAGAGGTTGAAGGAGGCGATAGCCAAGGTGCAGAAGGCGATCAGCGCCGGACAGTCGGAGCCTCCCGCACCCTTCCGTGACCCGTTCGTCTACGTTAGTGACGAAAGGGTGAGAACGGTTCTTGACGGTCGTCAACCCGAACCATTGAACGTGGACATCGAGGGACTCCAATCGGTGCATCATGCTGCGCCGGGTCCTGGTCCCAAGCAGGAGCCGGTCCCCAAGGGCGGAAAGGAAAAGGGAAGAAGGGGGAAAAGGGCGGTAAGGGCGGTAGTCCTTCCGGCCCACCACCAAAATCAGGTGAAGTGCCAGGTAAAGGATCTGGTAAGGGCGGTAGCCCATCTGTCCCAAAGGCGAAGGATGATGCTGGACCTGCTCCGATGGAGGTTGATACAGCAGCAGCTCAGCCGAAGAAGTCTTGGGCCGAGATGGTGGTTGAAGGGGCCAGGCCGAGTGCTAAGGCTAAAATGACCCCGGTTCCTAAGGCCGAGCCGAGAGGGAAGGCTGCTTCAGCATCTGAGGCGAAGAGTGCTCCGGCTCCAAAAGCTGTGGCTAAGGAGACGAAGCAGGCCGAACCGAAGGTTGAGGTCAAGAAGGAGAAGACAGGCGGAGGTGACGCTCCCGGCGGTAGCCGCGGGTCGGCCGAAGGGCAGAAGAGAGAAAGGAAATCCCGTTGGGATCCCGACGAGGCTGCGAAGGAGTCGACAAAGCGGGAGGCGTCCACGAGGCCTGGCGACGTCGACAGCAGACCAGGTGCGGCAGCGAGAGAAGCTAGCGGGGATGATCTTCACTCCGCGCTTGGCAGATCTTCGGCAAAGGATGCGGTAGCGCCTTTGACGGCCTCCAAGGCGATGGCAAAGAAGCCTGAAGGCGGGGAGATCCGGCTGCAGTCTGCTGAGCGGGCTGCGGCGAGCCCGGTGGAGGGTCACTTCCTGGTGCTGCCTGAGAGTTCGGTGGTGGACGCTTTCTTGTCGATCTCCACCAACAGAGTGCTGAACAAGCAGGTCAGGGATTTCATCAGGAATGGTGAGGACGCGTCGGCACTGGAGGCTCTCAACCAGATCGTGACGAACTCTCGATCTGGGAGGAGGCGTAGGGAATCGGATGTTTCCCGTACTCCTTCTCGGAGGTCCGTTAGGACCGTGGACACCAGGGATTCCAGAGAGTCGAGGAGGCGCAGATACCGTCCGCGGCGCGAGGATGATCGCGACAGGAGGAGGGACGATGCTCGTGATCGTCGTGATGATGATTCACTCGATCGGGAGCGAGATCGAAGGCGAGATGATCGCAGGAGATCCGAAAGGGATCGTAATAGGGACCGTGCGCGGGGCGGACGTGACCGGAGGAGACGTGACGATAGCCGGTAGGCTGAGTCACGGGGATTGCGGCCGATAGGCTGGCGTCCATTCTCCAATGGTCGGCGCGGTGTGGAGGTGGTGATGTTTCTCCCGGACCGCTGAGGCGCGGGGGTCATGTCTCTCCCGTACCGCTGCTGAGCTGCTGGACGTGTTCATCCGGAAGCAGTGTGAGTGAGAGGGAAAGCAAACTGATGGGGGGTTACTCCTGGGTTTGCGGAATTCAAGCATTTTTCAGGTACGCATGGTCAGAGGTATCTCTTGCCGTTAGGCGAGGGTACTATTGGACATACGTTATCTTTCTTTTTCATGGCTTCTGATAAGAATTAAACTTCTTGCATTGTTGATGCAAACAGTTGTGACCTAGTGTCGTCATGTGGACTTTTCCACAAGGTATGTTGGACAGCGTTACCCCGATTAATTCGGGGTGGTGGCGGGAATTTAATGCCCGGGATGTCGCGCAACTGCCTTTGTGGGTTTGCTCCACCGCTGACGGCGGTAGTGTCCAGCTGTTTGCGGATGCATGCGAGCAGTTAAATCCTATCAGTAAATGGCACGCTCCACCCGTCATATGACGGGCTCCTCGCGAGGGGGGTGTGATTAGCCATGGTTCATATCATCATCAGGGACGTCGCGTTAGTGACCGACCTGTGGTGTTTTGGCTCAAGTTTTGGGTTCCGTCGCGCCTCGAATGGGCGTCGCCGAACCCCTGCGTCGACCGACGGCATCTCGGGGGAGAAAGAGACCTCGGGCCGCCGCCAGGTTGGTAGGGACCAGTCGTGCGGCCTGTTGTCGACCAAGATTGCGGGTTAACCCTTTTCTTGCTTGGTTTGTTTTCCTTTGGTTGTTGTTCTCTGGTGTGTGGGAAACCCTGATCTTTGGGACCGGGGATTGGTTTGCTTTTGGGGAACCTTTCTTTTGTGGCTTGTTTACCCCAACTAACCCATTGCCTGGGCACAGGCTCGTGCCCGAATCACATATATATATGTATGGGACTCTGGCTCCAGCCCTGTCCCAAGGAGCAGGGTGATGCAGATGTGCTCTTCAACTTAGCGCAGAACTTTGAGTTGGGCGCTCGGGAGGTTGCTTGCGCTCGGGCACGGTTGGCCCCACGATCTTGCGAGCGTGCAGCTGAAAGCAGCTGACAGAGCAAGACGCACGTGGAACGTTTCACCACCCCCCAACATGGTAGCTTTCCGCACAAAACAACAATCAGGTTAGCTGGAAAAAAAAACGGAAGCCATATTTGAAAAGTACCGCCTCCCTATGGTTGAAACGCGCTTCTCTCAGCATTAGCTCCATTCCCTTCTAGTTTCCCACCTTCAATCTCGCATAGAAAGCAGAAGGGAGGCGGTGTTGATCCATGGCGTTAAGTTATGTAGAGAGACCTTGTGTCCGTCTCAGGATAAGGAACCCCTTTGCTATGAGGTCTGCAACCATGGGGTCGGCCAGTTGCTTCCTTCAAACCCAAGCTTGGTAATCAGCTGGCAAGTCAAGCACAAAGATGAAGCAGTTGTCTTGCCGTTGTCTTCGTTCGGAGGAGATGGAGGAACCAGTGGCGGCCTTTTATCCCTTTTTGGCTTTGTTGATCTCTCCAATAAACTTGGTCAACCCTGAGGCAGCTGAACACTATTTGCTGCATCTTGGGTACCACTATGTAACACTTAAGCTGCATCTAGGTTTAGAGTTCATAGCCCTGACTTCTATTCAGTTTTATGACAACTCACTTTGAAAAACACTTTGACCCCACTTTGAACCCTCAAATAGTCCTCAGGTATTTGAACCGTGGAAAGTGGGGCAAAGAGCGTCACAAGCTTTTGGGCTGCCGCGTTCACCTCACAGGCACGGCCTCTTTGGGGAACCGGTGGACCTGGCCAAGGTGCGGACAGGGATTGATCCGTATCTTCAGTGCTTTCAGCACCCATCCCCCCAGTAGCACTTTTTGCCTGTTACAGATCAATTTTGTGGTTGGGATCAATTTGGTGGTTGGGATCAATTTGGTGGTTGGGATCAATTTGGTGGTTGGGATCAATTGAATTTGGTGGTTGGGATCAATTTAATTTGGTAGTTGAGATCAATTTAATTTGGTAGTTGGGATTAATTTGGTGGCTGGGATCAATTTGGTGGTGGTTGGTGGTTGGTTTCAAATACAAGCGCCTGTGGTTTTGCCGAGGGGCAGGGTCCAAGGTTTTTAAGGCATAGTGAGGGGGTGTGAAAGCCAGCTGTATTTTCACATGGTATGTGGGCAGAAACTTTAGACGGGGCGTCAGAAGGTGTGTGCCCTTTAAAATTGGATACGGGGAGGGTTCTGATTGCTTGCTCACATCGTGTCCAAAAGGACACCATTTGTCAGAACCCATGCAACAAGTCACCTGAACTTGGTTGCTGATTGGTTGGATCATTGCGTAATGGGCACCCAGAAGATTAAAGCCCTGGTATCCCTGTTTGATAAATAGGGTCTCCCTGATGAATGTGTATATATATATATATATTTTCAACCCTGGTTGATACACAGGTTTTGCAATTTTCGGGCAAAACCGCGCCCTTCCGGTCTCCAGAACGAAGAGCCCACACCCCGGCGCCGGCGCCGGAGCCGGCAACGACGAGGCGCTGGAACTCTACGAGCTCTCGGCAGGCAAAGGCCACCACTTCGCCCAGAACAACCTGGGGCCGGGCAGCCCAGGAGTTGTGAAAAATATGGACCTGGACCCTCAAACTACCCTTAGACAAGAAATTCACCCAACATAGTTGTTTTCTGAGGGTTCAGGGACCCTTTCAGGACCGTCGATACGTGCCGCCGTTTTTTACTGATCAACCCATGGCTTCGGTTTTGATGCAGTCACTCCCCGAGGGGACTTGTGTTACTTCTTGCTGGTTCCCAGCCATCCGGTTCCTTAGGTTTTTTAGGTTTTTAGGTAGTTTAGCGGTTGGGTTTCCATTCGACCCAAGAGTTGAACTTTGAGTTGGTGGTGAACACAAAGTTTAGAGTGTTTTTTGGTTGATCAATCCACTCGATCGTAAGTGAGGTTTGCCTGTTGGTTTCCCTGAACACCACCCCACAAGAGCCCAAGTAGACTTGATGACACCCACTATGGGAGTTTTTGTTGAGCTAGTGCCCTTTTTGGATGGCTTTAAAGGGCACCAAAAGGAAGCCGCCCATTTCGGGGAGGGGGTCCCCGATTTTGAGACAAACGTATCCGAGTTTAAGTCACCCCTTCCTTACCGACCGAAAAGGGAATGATGCCATCTGCTTTCTCCCTGCTGCAAGTGTGGTTAGGGTTGCTCCGAGCCATCAAAGATGATGAACCGCCAAGGCCACAATTTGGTGTGGTGTTGCAAGTTGGCTTGTTTTTTGTGGCCGACAAAGTCGGTGGCAAACAAACGCTTGTATTTTGCTGGCCAATTCACTCGTGAAGTGTGTTGCCTTTGCCCTCCCGCACCCACTATTAGAGTTTGCCAAGACACGGGAATTCAATGGAGCTGAGTGTTTCAATCCTAAAGGGAAACCACCATGCAAGCGGATATGTTGCATTTTATCCCACGCCCCTCTTTAGTCCGAGAAACAGAGAAGCTGGGGGAAGGCTTTGGGAGTAGGGTGCCCTTTTAGCGGGGGTTCGGACCACTTTTGGAGGGGCCCCCGCCTAAGGGTGGGCCCAAGACAAGCCAGTAAGAGCGCCCGGTCGCAGAACCCCCCGGCCCCTCTTTTGGGACCCAGAGGGACGTTTCAGCCCCAACGGCCCAAGCTGGGTTCCATGTACAGGGAAGGGTGTGATGTGGGGTTCAGTGGTTCTGGGCCAAGCATTTGAGGCGACCTCTCCCATGAATCCTTCTGTTTGGTGGGTGAATGATGTTCGTTCTGATGTCCAAACCGCCAACTCGACAAAAGGCGGCTAGTCACCATGGGTTTGTGGCCCACTCCAGTGGCGAATATTTGCTGGGTAGATTTCCCTGTGACATCCTGGTCGTACCTGCAGATGTCTTTTGACCCCTCCTCGGTGCAACCTGAGAAGGTACCAAGTGACTGATGGGGTGATGTTCCTAGTGCTTCCAGTCTCCTCTGTAGCTGGTATATAACCAGACATTCTCTGGCAACTGGAAGGCTTTGCTCCGAGGCTCATCTACCGGCGCTTGCACGAGAGCAGCGGGGAAGAGCAGCTGCTGCGCAAGCCTGGGCTCCGGATGGGCGAATCTCCGCCAGCCGGACAACTCCCTGACTTCCCGGACATCATACTTGATGGAATGACAATTTCAGCGGTGAAATGAAGGTTTGGACGTTTTGTGGCCAAGCAACGCGAAGCGACTTCGCATACCCAGACCAGCTGTGCCCCTTGTTCCTTCGTAGGTCTAGGACTCGGCGTGTACATCTCTCCATTGATTGGAGGGGTGTTCCCTTCAACCTCAAGCAACCAAGTAAAGGACTCCCTTTTTGCCCTGGCCAGTGGAGATCCGGGGTGCTCTCGCGCATAATGTAGGTCCTAACTTTGGGATTCCAACTCTGGACTGTGAATTGTAGCAATTTGGCCACATACCGTGCTGGCCAAAGACATTCCTCAACACTTCGATTGGTCTCGACAGAGGTCACTAGTGGTTTGTGGGGAGTTTTCAGGTTTCATCTCTTCCCCTGATTCATGAAATAGGGAGGGCCCCTTTCCATATCCGTTCTATAAGGTTGGAGAGTATCGTTGTCTCATCGTTGTCACTGTTTGTAAAAGGACATCCATGCAAACACAACAAAGGTGAGGGGTGCTCTAAGCCTAAAAATGAGATACACATGAGGGCAGATAGGTTCCTCTAGTTTATTTTTGCCAAGTCTCTTGGCACTGCACCTTAGGATGTGCTTTGCTCAGCTCGTTCACTGAGCATCAGAGAGACCAATGAGCAGGGAGGATATGGGAGGAGTCGCAAAGCACCTGGACTAGGTTTGAAGGTAGAAGGTTCCAAGAGAATCCTCCTGTATTCCCGCTTCCACATCCCCGCTAGTTTGCTTGCCAAAAAGTGACGATTAAGGTGTCTATAAACCAATACCTCTGGATCCAATTGCAATGCCCAAGATCTGCACAACTGGAAGCCTACACAGTCCCTTGAACCTTTGACAACTCCTTGTTATTGAGATCCAATCCAAACAAACTAAACCCAATTCAAGGAAATCTCCTTTTGCTAAGACATTCATTCCTTCCCCTTAGCCTGCAAATCAAACCCACACCCAAATAGACAGCCAAATAGACAACCGACCACATCAATATCCCTGTTGAGTGAGGAGCCTCGACCTCCTGTGGGTATTCAGTTCCCTCTCTTTTGGAGAGGGTTTGTTTCTGTTGAAAATCAAGGGCCAAAACAGATGAGTGGGGACATCTGGAGGTTTTTGTTTTTTGTTTTTTCTTCGCAACATCCACATGGGAAACAAAAAGAAGTCCGCACAGATCGGTGTGTCTCTGTGTTTGATGGTTGTCCTGTGGTTTGCCCTGAACACCAACCCAAAGGGGGTTCAATAGCAAAAGAAAGACACACCCAGATGTCTTGGATATTTCTTCCTCCTAATGTCCTCGGACTCAATGTGCAGATGTCTCCCTCCATGTTGCGTTGCCTGTGTAACGCCGAACGTTTCACACAGGATCCGGCTTTACATGGAGATGACTGACAGCGGAGATTCACTTTTCCGATGGGCATTTCCGCTGGCTTTCATGCTTTCGGAGTTGTTTTGTGTTTTCGGGGGTGGGTTGTTCACTATTTTTTTTTTGTTTTAAGGTTTTGGAGTGCTTTGCTTTGTTGGAGTTGTTTTTTTTTTTCGCCTTCGGGACGGGTCTCAGGTCGGTGCACTGGCTCAAGGCCGCTGCGGAGGCCGGCTTCGCCATGGCACAGAAGAACCTGGCGCTGGCCGCGGCCCCGAATCGTTCGGCGGAATGGGAGGTGCGGAGTTCCTGGGTGTTTTTTTTTTGTTTTTGTTCCTTCTTTTTTTTGTTTTTTTTTGTTGTTTTTTACTTTTTGTTTTTTCCCTCCGAAGGGAACCTGACAACAACAAGTCACACCCACGCTCGAGATTGCCCCAGCATGTGTGTGTGTGTGAGGTCCGGTCGATTTGAGCGGGACGAGAAGGGGACGAGCTGCAAGTTCCGACCAGAAACATCAGGGAGTCATGTCCTCTTGGGGAAGCCTTCGTATTGCCCGTGGCTTACGGCGCTTGAAAGATTCGTCTTTTGTTCGGCTGCCACGAACAACCCTCCCTTGCCTTGTGCTGGTTTGCTGTGTTCAATCGTGGGTCCTATACTCGGCCTCACATAAGGTTAGTCCAAAAATCAAAGAAGCATGGCAGGCAGACCTCCAGTGAACTGCCAAACAGAGTGCCGCCGCTTTTCCCATTTCCACTGGCGGTCTGGAACATGTTATTTTGTTTCTTCTTGCTTTAAGCTACGTAGCTCAACCTTCCCTCCTCACCCAACGACCTTCAGAAATGGGATTTTGAGAATTGAAGCGAGGGCTTGGAAGCGAATCGGCGGAGTTGCTTTGACATGTTGCTACCGTATTTTGCCCGAAAGCTGATTCAGCGCTTCAAGATCACATGGCAACTTGCGTCAAAGAGCACAACTCACAGCAGCCGGCGATCGCATGGTAAACATCTCTCTCAAAATGCCGCCAGGCGGACGGACCTCAATCTACCCGAAGACGTTTGATGCTGCATCTCCACGACAGTTGGCCACGCTTCGGTGATCAATTTCCTGTTGGCACCCCGAAAGTAAGTGCAGAGTGATTGGCACCCACCAGATCTCAGCTTGTTTGGAAGAGGAACTCCAGGTTCACCGTGACACCATTGGAAATTCCAAGCCTGCGACCAAACACACTTGCTGATTGTACGAGTGAACTCGCCATGAACATGCACAAGCAAGCTAAAGCATCAGTTCCACCAGATCCATATTTTGTGCTGTAAGCTGTTCATATTGAACACCTCAAGCCCGCACACCATGGCACTGTCGGGGCGGCGTGTGGCGCAACGGTCGCTGGCCCTGGCCGTCTTCGCCGCGGGCTTGGCCTTCGCGGCGCCGCGGAGGGCGGCGCTGGCGACCGCGGCGGCGGCCGCGGCCGGGCGGGCGCAGGGGGCGCAGGCGGAGGCGGAGTTGGGGGGTGGTGGGGGAGATGTTAACCACAGACAATTCCTACAGTTTCTGCTATGGCGGGTTTTCACATCCTCCCTTTTCCCGCCTTCAATTTCAACTATGGGAAGGGCCACACTGCGCACCCGCCTTTTCTCGCCTTCTCGCTTCCCGACTGATCCGTTTCTCCGAGTGGGAGATGTGAGGGACGTCCGTAGGAATTTTGACTCGAGTGGCCTTGAAGCTTGTGACCCACTTGGGACTTGGCCCGGAAGATGCAGGACTTGCCCCATTTGACGCAACAGCAGGCTGTGAGTTCAGAATAGAGGAGCCAGAGAACGCCACGAAACTGGACGTCGTGGTCCGGGACAGGCAAATTTCCTCTGCCGTACTTGTGGCCGCGTCTACAGCACCGTCGGCGCGCGTGGCACGCATGAGAGCCGTTGCGCGCGGTAACTGGGTCTTCCCTCTTCCCCCTTCCGCTGTGATCGGAGCCGCTCCTGCTTGCAGCAAGGTTCCCCCGCCTTCGGCTTGCAGGTTCCCTTCGCGGCAGTGGTCCTGCTCAAAGGAGAAACTGGGTGCTTGCACCAGCCTCCTCTTGCCGCTTGGCTCCATTCATGGCTGGTCCTGCTCGAAGGAGATCACTGGCGCTTGCGCCCCTGGCCCGTGGTTCTTGTTGCCTCGGCGGGTCTCTTTGCCTCTCCTTGTTTTGGAGCTCGTCCGACTCTTGCCCGTCCAGGTGTCCTGTAGGTTTGCCCCGGCCAGGAAGCAGTTGGAACGCCTGGCGACTGACAACCCCACCAGATGAAATACCATCCTTATTCTGGCCCGCTACCGGCCAACGCTACTTTCAGGGCTCCCGCGAGGTTTGGTCCAGCAATTCTACTAACAAAACCCGATGAATGCCGCCCCTTTCTGCCCTCAAACAAATGGTTTGTGATGCTCCAAGCATATCGCCAAGAAGTTGGCCATGGCCAGACATGGCAAAGTTCTTATCACACTTTGTTTTCAATCGCCCAGGTTTTCTCATAAAGGCATCTTCCAACAAGCTGGAGAAGCAGAAAATGAACAAGACCGACCCTTGGATGACTGTCGCCCCACATGAGGTTTGAAGTTTCACTTGGACTTATCAATTGCTGACATTCGCAAACATCCCCCAGCTTCTCACCCTCACCCATGAAGCAACCGCTGCCGCACCGATGCAGGTTAAACATTTATTTTGTGCAAAATAAACAGGGGGTCGCACAGGATCAGGTCCCTTTCACACAGGCCTTCCCAAACGAGGTGAACATGATCAGTGAACTGCAGGCGGCAAGCTTCGCATTTCGCCGCGATTGAAAAGCAACAAGTGGTACAACGTGTCCATTGATTCTGTATGGGCTTCTGGAATTCAAAATGAATGCGACGTAACCCACCTAGGCACATGGCACCAACCCCCCCTGCTCAGCCGTTCAGTTCACAAGTTTCAATCTGTTGGTGCCCAGTAGCAGTTCAATCATTTTTTCTCGCAAGTCCCCTTTCATGAAAGTGGACAGGAAGGGTTTGCTTAGGCTTCCTGTGGTTTCCCTTTGCCAGGGACCGATTTTGTGCCGGAAATTCACAGAGTCACCTCCAAAGCGCGAGGGGCCTTCTGCGGAAGATGCGGCACTACTCAAGGGCGCCTTCCGCGCTCTTTCGGCGGACCCCCGAAGGCCGGAAACTCAGACAGCCGAGCTGACGGAGGACTCGGAAACCATAGGGGCGTTGGCACCCTTTGACGGTGCTAGAGGGAATGCTGGTTTTCGCATTTGTGGACTTTCTCTTGTTGGGTTTAGACCTTGTTAGTGATGTACACAGCAAGTCTTTGTCGGTTTGTGCCACTCTGAGGTGAGGAAGCCCCTCCAAAGTCATTCGGAAGGGTTTGGCTTCTGAACTTCTGCATGCGGTTTGAGCTGGACATACGCTAGCCTTCCAACCAGGAGGGCCGCGGTGTGAGAGAACGACCCTTCCCTCAGCGTCCAGATAGATTTCGGTATGGCATGGAACCCCTGGGGCTCCATGTTGATAATCCAAGGACCCTTTGAGAAAGACACTTATCATCGACCTTACAAAGGCCGTTTTGCATCAATTGCGCGGGCGATTTGACAAAGGTTCCTGTCTTGGGCCAAGAATCAAGGGAAGGAAGCCACTAGTAGGAGGGTATGCACGTTCTTTTCAGACCCCGAATGGCTAGTTTTCAACACAGAAGCAGGGACTGGTTGGAAGGGGAAAGAATGCGGGGTCCACGTGACTGCTTTGGGCAAGTCTCAACCTTTTCTGGGCAGTGTGACAGTGGGTATCCGGACAGTTGGGAACCAGGTTCCCGTGTGACTGGCCTGACTCTGCCGTAGTGACCCTACTTGACCCTTCTAAAGGCGAACAAGCATGAAGCTGAAACAAATCCAACAAGGAATCGGCATTCCGCACCCTCACCCGGCCCGGACTCTGATTTGTTGACTAGTTTGCCCGCGAATGCTTTTTGTTTGGCAGGAATCTATCACTACTGGAAATATGTTGTATGTTTTCCAGGGGACTTCAGCAAATGTGTTGATCGAAAGGTCCTTTACATGGGATGCCGATTGGGGAACACCAGTAAAAATGTGAAGTTTCCCACCAACTGGGAACAATTGCCCATGGTCATTTAGGGGCCAGGAATATGTTCAATTGGGTTTGCCCATGAGTGTCATGTGTGATTTAGGGGTCATGGGTGTTGTGTGTGATTGTTTGTTCCAGCCGATGCAGGCCCGGCGCTCGGGAGGAGCTGGAAGACGCGGAAGAGGCTGGTGAGAGCCGCATGTAGCAACATGGGAGTTTCTCTTCATGGGGTGGCTTGGAGGGCAACCGCAAGGAAACCAACCTGGACGGTCCCTGATTGTCAGAAATAGCCATTTGAGACATGATTTTATGTTTGTTTTGCTCCTGTGATCATGAATGAATTTGTCTTTGACCCCATTCTAAATATTTATAAAGGCCCTTGTAGCTTCACTGTCCTTGGCATGTGTTGTGGCTTTCTAGCATATGTCGGTCTTTCATGTTCGCTTATATGCCAGGCATTGGAAAGATAGGATAATTAAGCACCCGAACGGTTTTTCTTGAAGAAGAACGACCACAACTTGTTTCCTTGCAGGCAAACGCCAACAGGAGGGTGCCTACTTTCAGCAGCATGCACCATAGTTGCGGACAGGACTTCGGCATTGAGCTTCTAAGCGTGCAAGCACATACTTGTTTGTTGCCCTTGGTGTCCCTGCATTTGGGAGTATACCCCTCGTATGGGGAGGGTATGAAGAGGAAGCCTTTGGGGCTCTTTTGTCCAAGCAAAGGCCGTTGCTTGCTTTTTAGGGGCGGTTCCATCAGCACTTTGCGCAGTTTGAAGGAGGAGCCTAGGGTTCGAACGAATTTGCACAATATTTTTGGGTGAAAGCGCGCTGAAGAATGGTTGGCGGGCATTGAACCCCTTTGTAAGGTGCAGAAATTCCTGGAGCGCGCCGCGAGTTTTTCAGGCCCTGTCCCGCGTCATCGAGGATTTCCAGCAGGGCGCCTCATCGCAAGATGTGGCAAGGGTGCGCATGGCCCGTGCACAGGCGATCGCGGGCGGGCAACCCAGCACTCGGGTCTTGAAATTGGGATCGGAACCGAGGCAAGTACAGATACCCAAAGGCTCTCGATGGGTTTTGGGTCCTCAAAGGTTCTCGTGGGTTGCACATAGGTGTTCTTGTTGTGTTTTTTGCCTGGGGTTTCGCTTCGACGTTTCAGCGCCAGGCGAGGATTGCC